CCCCGCCACGTTTCTGCCGCTGACGTGGATGGACGGCACCGGGCCGTTACTTAACGGCGTCATCACCTCAAAGGCGCCTCTGTGTGAGACCCAGTATTAAAGCCGCGTCCGACGGGGTGGGAGAGAGAAGGGAAAAGCATTCCAACACTTCCTCTGCATCTCTCCTCTCTTCTCTCTCTCTGTCTAAAAGAATTGAAAAGAGAAGGGGGAAATCCTCGACTGCTCGTTCCATAAACCCTAACCTCGTTGGATTCGCAGCAAAAGCCTCCCAATTCGAAGCCCTCCGGTGTTCCAGCTGCCTGCGGGAGCTGAGCTGTGCCCGGTTTGGCGAAATTTTGCAGCCCTTTTGAGCTAGGACCACCCGGTTCAGGCTGTTTCTCGCTCGGTCGGAGGGGGCGTGCCAGCGGTTTCGCGGCTCAGGGTCATCACCGGTGTGCTCTCCGGCGCCGGATCCGGGTGTGTTCCGGCGAGAGGTCGGGCTTTTGGTTGGGGGTCTGTCGAGCTTCGGGCTCAATTTGCCGACCTGAGTTGAATCGCGACTGCGGTGGCGGTGATTGAGGTACACCATTCATTCTTGGATTTGCTTGGTGGAGTTCCCGATTTGAGGTCCTTGTTGATTTATTGTGGCACTTCTGATGCATGTGAGTTTAATTAACCGCTTGCCATTTCTGCCATTTTTCTTTACTCGCTCACCTGTTTTCTTACCGCCGATGTTCGTCCTCTGTTCTTCAGGTAATCGCGTCAATTGGACCCGCGGTTCCTGCCATTTGGGTGAGCCAGCCTTACCTGGCAATCTTGGGGGCGTTTCGTCTTGCTGCGTGGCAGAAAGGTGTGACCTTGTGTGCCGTGCGATGCATTCCAAGGCTCGAATCCACGCCGACCTGGTGCGCGAGGTCGACCACTTCGACTGCCTGCCGGATTCGCTCGTCCTGCTGATCCTGAACAAGGTCGAGGACGTGCGATCGCTCGGCCGGTGCTACGCCGTGTCCAAGCGCCTCTGTGGGCTTGTTCCCCTTGTCCATGATGTGTATGTCAAGATTGACCGCGTCGTGGCGGTCGACGGCGACGCCGAGGACACGCTCAACCTGTCCTCGCCAAAGCCTCGGAACATCTTCTCGCACTTCCTGAAGCTGATGCTCCTCACAATCATCAAGCCGTTCCACAACATGCGCAACCCTAATGGTACTGGAAGGCCATTGTTCCCGCAGCTCTCGCAGCACTCGCCAGCACAGGTGCTCAGGAACTTCACGCACGTCAGGAATCTTCGGATTGAGCTCCCCTCTGGGGATGTGGGTACTGAGGAGGGAGTTCTCCTGAAATGGCGGGCAGAGTATGGGAGCACACTTCAGAATTGTGTGATCCTGGGGGGTACCCGGGTTGACCGCAAGCCTGTTGGAGAGCATGAGCCATCTTTGGAGGATAATGGAAGCATGCCAGAGTCTTTCTATACCAATGGCGGGCTGAAACTTCGTGTCGTCTGGACAATCAGCTCTCTAATTGCGGCATCAACGAGGCACTATCTTCTCCGCTCAATCATCAATGACCATCCCACACTTCGGAGCTTGGTACTAACAGATGCCGATGGCCAAGGCACATTGTCCATGGGGGCAGAGCAGCTGAAGGAGTTCAGAGAGAACCAGTTGTCGGCCTCGGCATGTTCCAACAGGACTCAGGTCCCAGCCTGCAACATGAAGCTCAAGTACGCTCCATATCTTGAGCTGCCTGGTGGCATGGCGTTGCAAGGCGCTACTTTGGTGGCTATCAAACCCTCACCTGAGGGAAGCAATGGAAGCCACCCTAACCGTAAGGAGGCTGGCGGATTTGTCTTTGGAGCATTTGATGGGCCATTTAAGGCTGCTGTGAAGGCGCTGATGAAGAGACGCACTTACCTTCTGGAGATGAATGGCTTCTAGGAATCTTAAGTTCGTCGTGGTATCGAGCTTGTTGGTGCTATGCATGGCACATTTAGCTGAGCTTTTCATCTGTGTAATATCCAAGAAGGCGCCATCTCTAGTTGGTGCTTGCTGTCTGCTGTTTTAGTTCTTTGTACAGTGTTGACATTTGATTATATAAAAATCATATCAAGTTCTCTAGTGTAATAGTGAATCTCTCTATAGCTCACCATTCTGGTCCCTTGTGCCCTGTGTCATACCGAAAACTGTGAAGCATCCTACTGCTAACTCTTTTCAAGTGAAACAGCCTTGTGATCATTTAATGTCTCAGCACAGGGAGTTGAGATATTCAGATGGTCGCACCATTGGACACAAATTATTATATTTGCCATGTGTACATTTTTCTCCTCTTTCAGTTTCATAGGTGGAAGTTGAAAGTAGCCTTGGAAAAGAAGAGCCAGATTATGCCTTCAGTACATCACATTCATTTTGGGATTGTGAAATGAAAATGACTGATCTTTGCTGACAATTCCTGGAGAACAGTTTCTACTTGGTTTTGATTCCTGCGTTTCTTAGAATGTTTCTAATAATTAAGGATTGCAGGTTACAGTTATGACTTTGTGGGACTGCTTTCCTGTAGTTGACCTAGCATATGGGTTATCTCATCTATCCTACTGCTAGTAAAACAGCCTGAGATTCCAAATGTAGTTATCATCGATTCATCGGTCAATGATCTCTATCCTCGATGTTAATGACATGTTAAAGACTTCATTCCAATAAATTAGTTTTTTTAATTGTGAGGATCCAATAAATTAGTTCATTAATACCATTGGCAAGTGATTTGGATCACGATCTAGTTCATTAAGACACATTGACAATTTCTCGATTGGGATTTCTTACTGAAGTGCTTTTAGAGGGTGTCCACGTCTCTTATGTCTCATCCATTCTTATAAGATTACACAAATATCTTTTCATGAATAATTGCCTTTCAGATCTTTGGAGGGGTCACTCATAAAACTGGCCACTAAAGAATTATATTAGTCTGCATTACTAGTATCAGAATTTAGCTGGCATGAGTACTTTCTTGAGGTAAACTAGTCAAGAGTTTTGAAAATATTTGAATAGAGCATGTCTGGAGTGCAGATTCCTTGAAAAGAAAATGAATCGTACATTCACGCGTCAACTTATCAAGTTGCAAATATTTTGCTTGATGGGAATACTCTGTTGCTAATACTGGTCGACATGTATGGATTAAGGGAGATTTTATTTTAAATATAAAATGGACAACTAATGCATGATCTTATATGGCTAAAAAAGGCTTAGTTTCTTTCAAAGACGAAGTTACCTTTTGCATAAGTATCTGAAAGGGAGTTGTGTTGTTAGTTTGCTACTATCTTCTCTTCTTTAGAATGTTCTTCCTGCAAATCTGTGAGCTTCCAGAAAAAACTGCTCACCAGGTGGAACTGGTTTGGTTAGCCTGATTGCATCACCTTGTAGAATTCATTTTGTAGGGTAACCTACCTCAAGAAAGGGCTGGAGTGGTGACTTCCAGAAGCCCTGACGTAAAAGACACATACACCCTTATTGTTTCTATCCTATTGCCTTGCTATCCTACAGTAGTACGGGAAATGTCACTTGGTAAGTCAGTGACGAATTTTGCAGGCCAATTTTTGGCATATTAAGAACATTAGTCTGGGAGATGTCACTTGGTAAGACAGCGAGGAGTTTTGCAGTCCAATTTTTGGCAGATTAAAGTTGGTACTACTCTCCTGAAGAAGGAACCTTTTTCTGGGTTGAGTATGCTGAACATATTGACGTTGAAAACGTAGCCACTTGCAGTGAAATCTGTACGGGATGATATCGGTTGACCCGCATAAAACAAGCTCACCGCTCATGTGCAGATCAGTTAATAAAAAAAGCAGTTCTGACAAGTAAACGACACCATCGATCTAAGCTGTTTTTCTTTGTTCATATCCACTCAGCTCGATATATATGATTCCATCCGAGAGCAGCTGTGCAAAGCAAATCCGATAAAAATCAGTACTATTTTATTCATCTTATCCTGAGTTGATTCTATACTTAAACGGATGGAGCATGTACTAGGCAATCAATCCCCTTTTAATTAGGGCACGGTTGTTTACTCCTGCTTACATAATCGGGCTTATACAAGCCAGCATCGTTTACTAACATCCCAGATCTTATAAGTCAAACTATATGATCCACATCCCAGCTTACGATAATCCCACAAGATGCCCAGGACCACAGCTTATTTAAGTTTATATTAAATTTTCTTTTTAACACATCCAATAATATAGGTTGCTAAACAGCTTAGCTTACATAATCCAATGAAATCAATCATAATAACCTCTTACATATAATATATATCTGGCCAAGGAACAAACATAGCCATAGTATTGCAGTTTAGACTATTTAGCTCAGTTCACCACAAAGATAAAAAAAAAGGCAAACAGTAAAACCATCAATTGAGATGCCCCTAGCCCCACATGTCATCCTAACAGTACATGGTATCTTCCTATCTTCTAATATGTATACCTTTTCATCAGTCCAGCCCTAATAAATTGGAGGTAGGATTAAAAATCACTATTAAAATTAATATATATTTACTGAATAACTCAGCTGGAAATAAAACGAGAAAAGGGAATCCTCTAAGGTCATTAGGAGAAAAGCAATATAATCAATCGAATCGTTCTAGTTCTTCCTGAAGAGCAGCACTAACCAATGAACAAAGTTAGAAGAAAGATGGGTGACACCATGAGTGAAGCTGTTTCCTTGAACAAACTTTCATGAGAAACATTCTGTGATCTATAATCTATCCACCTCCAAACTCAAATTTACCCCACCGCACCGGTTCAGCCGTTCAGGCCATTCAACGACAGTCAACAATGATAGACATCAAAGCACTCCACCCAGACCAGGCTACTCCATGTCTTTTTACAGGTTATCAGATCAGCTAACGTGCAATAACATCAGTTTGATGGCCTGGCAACCTAAGCAACGTGAGTGGCACCTCGCCATATTTAGCAGGCATATACCCTCCTTATGCCACAAAATTTGGAAACGATGGGGCCAGTACAGGGTCGAAGTTGATCATCTGTATTTGCCTAACTCCATTTTCTTCTTGAGCGCCTTCTGTCCGTGGTATATGAACGAGTCAATGATACCAGAGACGGTGAAAACACCTGAGGATAATGCAGATCAAATTTGTTAGTTGCACTCATGGAAATCGTAGCTGAAGCTATTTTTATTTAAAAAAAATTACAGAAATGCAACTGATTGCGGACATCTATTGCCACAAAAGCTCTGCTTTAGTATGAACACTACAGTCAAATGCACAGCTTAAACTGTTTCATCAATATTTTATACAGAACTGCAAAAGAATGTGGGGAGTCAAGTCCACAAGACGTTTGCCGTTTATCAAAAGGAATGTCAAAGAATTACTGGAGCGTTCAGCAAGACATTTGAGGGTTTATAAAAGGTTTCATTTACAGAAGAGTGAAGATTGTAGATGTAGCAATCTTTTGACAAATGATAACTACACCTAAACTAAACATGATGCTCATACCTCCCACTATAGCACAAAGGTTTGTCAAGTAGTGGAGTAGGGATCTATTTTCTTCTGTGAATATCACCTGCAAAAAAATAGACAGTTCAATTTTATAGGGATCGCTGACCTGAAGAACTGAAATGAGTAACTTTCAATCTGAGAGGATTACAACAGTGCTAACTGCACTAATAAAAAATAACTGGGAATTAATTAATATAATCACATATATGTGAAAATAGAAGGGCAGGCCTGGTGCAGTGATGAGAGCTGTCTCACTGAGTCACCAAGTCGTGGGTTCGAAACTGCCTCTCCGCAGATTTTGCGGGGGAAAGGCTTGCCTCGGATTTTCCCTTCCCCAGACCCCACTCATGTGGGAGCCTCCGGCACTGGGTCTGCCCTTTTTTTTTTAATCACATATATGTGAAAATGATAAAAGGAGTTCATGATCTACAGAAAACTGTATATGCATCTTTTATTACTCCGTTATTACCTTTATAGGTGAGAAATCATAGAAGAAAAATACTCCAGGTTGGGGTTTCTTGGAGTATGGACGAACATTTCCATCTCTAAAATGTTCCGTTACCGAGAACTGAAAATGAAAGTAACAGAAAGATATTAATGTTGAGGGAATATAAAACGTTGCACATATTCAATAGTTCCACAAACCTGGTTCGAATGAATATTGTGTCCTCTTATATCAGTGTATATTGTAGGGACAACCTGGACAGGAAACTCGGTAAGTTCTTTATGCACCATTAAGCCATAGAACTATAACATACATGTATGAAGAAAGACTCACTTTTATGAAATACTGGTATGTCCCATCTGAAGCTGGCTGTGTCCACTGAGCACTGTGTTCATAAATGGTGAAGTTTTAGAGTAAGAAAATACATATTTAGGTTAATAGAAGTGCCTAAAAAACAATTGGCACCATTTATGCTCACTGAGCAAAACATAGATAGTTACCCATCAAGTGGATTAATAACACCAGGGAATTCTGTCCCAAAGGACAGTTTGTTTATTTTGTGGGTAATCTGGTAAAGTTACAGGTAAACATATTAGAAACATTGAACAGAAACAGTCAAAATAATCTAAGGGGAAAAAACTTAAAATGATCTACTTACATTGAAACCACCTTCAAGTACTGACAGCTCAGGCACATCTATGTTTGATTCATAAAATCCTTTGCCTGGGGCAAAGTGAAAATTTCCAGCAACTTTACTGACATCTAAAAAGCCATGGACATTGCAGCCTTCATCTTGCTGAGTTTTAACTCTCTCAACAAAATCTCTCTCTTGCGCACTAAAACAGTCAACAAACACCAGTGGATCTCAGGAATAAAGAAAGTGTGCAGGAAACCTTTAAAAATTCACCAGAAAAAGATACTTGCTAATTAGAAACCAACACATGAAGTATATAACTCTAAGGATTAATTTGGAAGCAAGGGGGAGGCACACCCAGGGATGGAAAACCCTCCATGAAGAACTAAATGGGTTATTCAAATGATATCCCCATGGATTGCCCACCCTGGAAAAAGTCAGAGATCCCAAGGGGATTTGAGTTTCCAAACTAGCCCTAAGGGCACATTCTGAACCAGGGCTAGTCTCTGGCAAATGACATAAAAAATACTTAAAGATGTCACTACATTGCAGATGGCAATTTCTGTTAATCAAGGCAGATGATGGATCAAGGAACCAAGCATACAGGCTAGGGGCCTCCAAGTGGGCCTCCAAGTGAATGTGATTCCTCAAAAGCAGTGGATTAATTGTGTACCATAAGTTAAAAAGTAAGACTCTCCCAAAGAAAAGCTAAATGTAAACCTTCATGATGTAGATCCAGGTAAAATAGCTGATATACCTGGTCAATTAGGTCAGGATTTGTCAGAGCCCAACCTTTCTTCTTATATGCCTCCCTGACTTCTTCGCAAGAATTACAGCATTGCTCATCCGACTGAGCTCCGAGTAGGTCCAAGCAATTCGATGTTGAGAAGTAAAGCATAACATGGATAAGGATGTTGAAATAAAAGTTACAATAAAACAAAATGAACCAAAAAAAAAACTCTGCATACCTCCTCAGCACCATAACATGTGCCACAATATTGTTCACCTTTGTCGAGCCTTCCTCCATGTTTTTGCAATGGTCTCTCGATCTATACAAACATTATTTTTTCTATCAAGGATATGCATCTGAAATTGTTAAAAGTACAACCAAGCCAGCTTTATATCTACAGTTGACCAGGTTTCGTTGTGGTTGTGGTACATATTGGAGGAAACATGAAAACAAAAGATTTGACAGACACAAAGAAAAGTTTCAAGAAAACACGGTTGGAAAACACTTCTATACTAGTATAGACTCAAATATAACAATAATGAACTACCTATGTCATTAAAAGCATGTATGAATGCCAACATTAAACTTCTAGCTTCTTGATGTCATGTCACAATTTGGTAGTTTTCTCCATGAGTTCTAGAAGCTCTTTAAGGAGCAACAATTCAGCAGTGAACTAGGCGAAAATACATGGGCTAAGGACAGAAGAAACTAAGAAATTTACAGGTATGATCATAACACTGTGCGGTTATAAAGACACATCACTTATCAGTTTCTTCTGCCTAAGGCCTTGTTTAGATACCCTCAAAATTCCAAGTTTTTTCACTCTCTCTCCATCAAATCAATTTTTAGCTGTTTGCATGGAGCATTAAATGTAGGTAAAAAAAATAACTAATTGCACAGTTTAGTTGGAAATCACGAGATGAATCTTTTGAGCTTAGTTGATCCACGATTGGACAATATTTACCAAATAAGACAAAAGTGCTACTATTCATCGGGTTGAAATTTTTTGCAATCTAAACATGGCCTAAGTCTTCTTTTTTTTTTTAATGAACCACAGACAGCTCTCAAAATTTCAACCTTCTATTTGTAAAATATAAACTGTGCTATTGCCCCAGAAATGTGCACAGGCGTATCTGTTGGTTGGTTCAACTTTTGAAAGAAGGGTGGAAATTCTACCCATAATTCATCCACCAGAATTGCTACAACTGTCATAAAAATATGAACACTTTTTTTATGAGTTAGTGTACTGCAAGTCTGCAATAGAGGCCACTCACCTTTGCTCCGCCAATGCCTTCTTTTCTTGCTTCAATAACATTACCATGTGAATCTAATCTTCTCTTCTCGATGTCATGCCTCTACAGGGAAAAGGAAACAATGGAACCATTATATGAAAGATCAAAAAATAAATTAACAAAGCATCACAAAGTAAGATAACTTCAGAACTTACAATGTCATGCTGCTGCTCTCCACTAATATCTGTTGTATCAACGCTGAGGAGGGTGCAAGGAATGCTTGGAAAAGTAATATCAAACTGTAAATTGGAGTTAGTATTACAAAAGACGCTTGTTAGGCACTACCAGACGACAATGTATGTGTCTGTCTCTTTAAAACAGAAAGAATAGAAGTATAACAAATAACCTACAGACAGGTTAATTGGTAAAAAAGTACTAACTTTTACTCGTAGCCTTTCTCCTCTTGATGTGTCCACAACTAACTTAGTCTCTGTTGCTGAATAAAAATATGACCCTGAAAATATGTACACAGAAAAGCCATTAGGAGATGCTTCATTCTGCTTATTTAAGCACAGTATGTAACATAACAGCATTTCCTTACAATAATGGCATGTTGGTAAGAGGAACAACATCAGTAGATCATAGATTTTAGAGGCGGAAACAAGATGAGGTTAAGTTTTTCAAAGAGCAATAAAGAAGTGCGAAAAAAATAGATGACAAATGCCATGAATTTCATGATGGGACACTAAAAGACAGGACATTAAAATTTGCCATTGACAGAAAACTACAAGGCATAATACTATCCAAACCGCATCTGTGGTAGCACTGGGCATCAACCTTATTTAGCCCATTTTTCTTTGGACAAACATGTGCTAAGGTAAACTGTATTTATTTTGGGATAATGGACATATTCCTCATTTCTATAGGCATTGTGGCCTAAACTTTGCAGCTCTGCTATAACAGATTCAGAACAAATGTTAGGTGGATACACGTGAGCTTGCCACAGGAAAAATGAATCGTGTGACACAAGCGACGGCTAATCCAGTACTCTGAAGGAAACACTTGACAAAAAAGGAAAATTTACCCAAAATGTCTTATACATGCAAAACAAGAAACACAGGTACTAGCACATCAGGTTCCGGAAAAGGTGATACCGTGTCAGTCCATACTTGCAGACTAAAAATAGAACTTTCCCTCAACTAGAGTTTACTGACTACTGAGACACAAATTGAAAGTGCAAAGTAGACTAATCCTCAGTAAGTAATTGTTTGCACACGTGATTGTAATAACATGAAAAGAAATATACTAAAACTCAAGCAGATCAAACAGAGACGTCAGCACATAAATTCAGGTGTCTACCGGATAAACAGAGTAATGCCCCCCACCAAATTGGGACAACCGCGGGAACTAAACCGAAAGGCGAAAGCAACTGAAAATCCAACCTTTTTTGAAATATTCCAGCAGCTCAGAGTTTGACGCCCAAATAGAGAGTGTAAAAATAATCGTTCGCATTATGCATTATTAGGATTCGCGTCCATGCCCAACGGTAATTCGGCATACCAAAACACGGATCTCCTCCCTCCAGTCCTCCACACACCGCCAACAGCACCAGAGCTTAAGCCCAGAAGTCTGCTGCATTAATCAGGCCGGCACCATGCGAACGCACAGTAGCTTCTCGAAATTCCATCTCTTTTCTCCACATAATCACAGGCAGGCATGCAGCAGCAATCAGTCCCCAAAAGGGGCTCAGAATTCAGCCTTTTCTTTCTTTCTTTCTTTTTTGACAAGCTTACACCTCGGATTCCACAACCATGCCGGGTCAACAAAGGCCGCAAAATAGAAAAAAGAACAAAAAAAAAAAAACAAATCGGACCACTACCGGCCGCCGGAGAGTCACTTACTGGTCTCGGAGATGAAGAGGAGCAGCATGACGACGGCGGCGACGAGCGTGACGATGCCGCCGGAGAGCGTCCGCTTGTAGAAGTCCTCGTTCACCTTGGGGTACGCGTCCAGCCGCTTGAGCCTCTGCAGGAACGCGTCCATCTCTCCTCTCCTCTCACTACTCGGCCGCCGGCGGGCGCCCGACGGCAGCACCCTAGCTCGTCTCGTCCCCCCTGATCCGAGCTCCCGAGAGCACTGGCCCGCGGAAACCGCGGCGATGCGGCGCGACGTGGGGGTGGGGTGGGGTGGGCTTTGACCGCCGCGATTCCGCGAGATGCCGGCGGGGTCGGGGCCCGGTCGAGGTAAGCAGCACAGCAGGCAGGGAGGCGGAGGGAGATTGATTACGAGGGCGAGGTGATATAGCGTGCAGGCGGTAATGGTGGGATTTAGGACTGAAATTCCACGCACGCGCGCCACGCGGCGGGACGTGACTTGCTGGCGGCAGCGGGAATGCGTTGGAGGCCGCCTACGTGGCAGGTCCGGTTCGGTTGGGAGGCTAGTTTATGGAGAGGGAGGCCAACCTAACAGCTCCCGCCTCCCGCTAGTGCACGGGATTTCATGAGTGTTTTTGTCGATGACGTTTTCTCGCTCGTGTGGAGAATTGGTAATGGTAGCAATATAATTTCGCAAAAAAAAGGCTACTAATGAATTTGGATGACGAAGAATTTGATCCCATGCCATTTTTCATTTAATAAGTATGGAAATATATAAACAAATTTGGTTTTATATGTGAAGAAAGATCGAGTTGTTTGGTTTCGTGCGTTATTTTTCGTGATGTTTTCTTTGGGATGTATATATACTAGTATGTTATTTTTGTTGTACCGAGTGTTGATTGATTAAGAGAAGAATTTGTTGGTGAGCTAACCAGGTCCGCGTAGCAATTTGTGGCGTGGGAGGTGTGGATCTGTGCTGGCTGGTAGAGTTTTCGGAAAGGTCAACTTCTCCCACTTCCGTTTCCATTCCAGGCTTCCAGTCCACAGCGTGTCAAAACTCAAAGGCAAACTAGAGAGAGAGAGAGAGAGAGAGAGAGAGAGAGAACCTGGAAAGCCTAAACCAAACCTGTGTGCTCGACGGTTTTGACCTGTTCTCGTGCATCAGTCGTGGTCTCATGCAGGCCAGACGGCATGTGTGATGTGTGCACGTGCCAGGTTCATAGACACATGACACATACAGCGTCAGCCGATCTACTCAAGTTTGTACGAAAACGTAGCATAACGTGTAGTCAAGATTGTACGAAAACGTAGCATAACGTACTGTACGTCGTAGACAGGATTCTACGAAAACGTAGCATACCGTACTGTACGTCGTAGAGAATGGTTAAAGCACATTAATAAGGCACAGCGAAGCAGTAGCAACGAATCATTAGGCATACAGCCATCGGAGAAGCACCTCCAGATGCAAAACCAGTCGAGGCGACCAACGAATCATTCCAAGCTTAGCAAGCGACGCATCCAGACACACAGCATCACCAAGCAGCTCATCAACGCACAGACTGATCTGATCTGATCCACATCAACATGTGCCAAAGGAATAAATATAACGATCTCATCAAACAAGATGGATATGCCTTACATAGCAGCCATACGAGGTATTATCAGTATCACAGTATGGTAGATTGACACATGATAGCAAAATTACATAACTAAAAGATAAAAAAGAAATGGCTATAGGGCTTGCAGCGGAAGTCTGAGCCCTATATCTCATCTCAACTAGTGACAGGCGAAGCTCCTGACTCTTCACTCACTGGGTGCCAGGGGTGGTGCTGATGATGTCTGAGTCCCCTGGAGCAGAGACATTACAGGAGGTAACAATTGTTCAGTGACAGTTCCGAGCGGAAGAAGATAATGACAATTTAACAGAAACGAACCTGGGTCGATGATACTGAGGCAGCACACCCTGTAGTACTTGCCGCAGGCAGTGCCAAGATCAACGTTGTCTGAAATGTGAACAAAACAATGGGTTGAACACATAATAGCAAAATTTACAACGCCAACCTTAGTCGATTAAATGAGTGGTGCCAAGTACAACTCCAAATAACTAAAAACAAACAGAACTTGCAATAGATAATCCTGAAAGGATGAAGGTGGTCTTACTTCCATGGAAATGGTGCACGCTAACTTTGGCCAGCATAGCATAGTACTCAATCTCAGACTTCCTAAGTGGAGGGCAGTTGTTCGCGATGATGATCAGCTTTCCTGAATACAGATATCAGAATCAGACTGTAAGAGCTCAAAATCATATGTACTCGTAAGCCAACACCACCTTTTCTTAAGTGTTCCCAGGTGCCAAAACAATAATGTTTGCACAATGTTAACAAAGCGTTAACGGGAAGCCACGTAATAATTAGCAAGCAAATCTGAAAGATTCAACAACATTGAAAGTTCAAGAAAAATGGGATCTATGATGAGGCAGGACACAGCGAATATATACAAATCATTATTATTAACACTACATTAAACATTTCGTCAGTATTCTGCATGCTGAGACGACCCCATCACTCAAACATACTTGAACCACTTGTGGTGGTGTACTAAGTTAGCAAATATTTCAACCTCCAATTGTATTCCAGGTTTATAGAATAAATCAAGAACTTTAATCAGGAGGTTGGCTTTGTTCTAGGGTGCTGCATTCATCTCAAAGGCACAGAAAAATAAAGCCAAAGAGCCAAACTCCAGCCCCATTCATAAACTATGCAACAATACAACAGTTTTATATGCTAAAGTTAAAACCTCACTAATATTTTGCAAATTGAACCACGTTCACTATTCAGACATAATGGAACGAACAAAAACAGCCAACAAAAGGAAATAACCCTACTAAAAAAACGTGAAAACAATATTGTTGCAGCCTCCAGTTGTCCTCCAGATATGAAGAGGTCAAAAGGAACTCTATCATGGAAAACTGGCATTGTTCTAGGGTACTGTATTCATCTCTAAGGCGGCGGTAAAAGCAAGCCAAAGAGGCAAACTTCAGTCCCATTATACAATGGGATGTCCAAACTCTAAATCCTGACAGTGAACTACCTAAAACAAATCCGTAGGTACATCTACAAGTTAATTCATACACAGACAATAAAAAAAACAAAGCATATTCCTCAACATATTTAGCTGGAAGATACTAACAATCGCCACTACCAAAACCATCCATGACATTTACAGATCGCAAAAGGCATCATAGAACATCATACAACAATAAGTACCACAATCGACGAAAACATAACCCAATCCCCAAACCATTTCATAACACGACAGACAAAAATTCTATAGGCAGACACCCACACTCGTACAAATCCATACAGCCCCGAATATTATGCCATTCGGATCTATCAAAAGGAAAGGTTGGCAACGCTTAGAGAAGAAATGGAATCGATACCCTTGGAGTTGCGCAGCGTCTTGAGGACGGTCTTGTAGCCCAGGGTGTACTTGCCGCTCTTCATCACCAGCTGCAGCTTGTTGTTGATGCTCTCTGTGCTCTTCTTCTGCACAGATCGAAACAATCGGGGAACCAATCACCATCACAGGAAAATTCACCTCGAAATGGAAGGAACAGAGGACCAGCGCAGGTCGCTTGGGGTTCATACCGACTTCTTCGTGGGAGCCATCGGATCGAGCAGCCGCTGGCGGCGACGGGAAGGGGCGGCGGTGCGAAGAGCTGCGGCGAGAAAGCGGCGGCGCAAATGGGCGGCTCGGTAGGGTTTAGCACCAGAGGCTTTATATAGACATGCTAATGGGCCATAATCAGTACAGGCCCGCACTATAACAGTCCACCCCAAAGGCCCAAGCCAGTCCAGCCCATCAAAATTTTTGGCCCAAACCAGTCCAACCCATCAACATTTTTGGCCCAAACGTTCCTCTAAACGGTCTCAAACCCTGGTTTGCAGCCCAGTCCACACATGACCAGCAGCGTGCGCCCCTGGGCCTGCCATTTGCCAAATTCCTGCGAGCTTCAAGCAACTTTTTAGAAACATAGGGTTTATTCAGCGCAAAGTCTTTTAAGCGACCCGGTCGCGCTGCGACTACAGCGCGCGACCCAGGCCGCGACGGGCTTGGCCCAGCAAACCTCCGCTCCCCCCTCCAACATCGCGGCCTTTTCTTACACCCGAGCACCCAACGCTGCTTCTTCCCCGTTTCGTTTCGTTCCGGCAGCGCAGCCGGGGTGACGAGTCCGGCGTGACGAGGGCGGCGCAGCTGGCGGCGACTCTAGTCAGGCGCACGGCAAGGCGGAGCAGCTTGCTCCGGTGCCCGCGGCCGATCTCCTCCGTCTGCTCGCCGCTCCGCAACTCAGTCGAGCACCACCTGGGGCCTAGCGTCCTCGCGACCAGCTCCGGCGCGGAGTTCTCCCCTGCAGCCCCGGTGTCTCCGCGACCGCCGCTGCTGTCCTACTTCGCCACTCGCCACCTTGGCCAACGACGAGCACCACCAGGTATTCCTTCCGCTTTGGTCCTCCGTTCCAGCTGTGCGAAGCCATGCGCCCAAATCCATCCGGCATTCATCCGACCGGGTTGCGCCTGCTGTCGTTTCAATCATTAATTTCTATTTCTAATTTGAATTAGTAATTTCAGTTTCTATGGTTAAATTAGTTTGTGGTAGATATTTAAGTTTTCATCGAACTGCATGCCTGCTGCCTATCCTGCTTAGTGCAGCCTCTTTCCTTTGGCTGTATCTACTGCTGATTTGCTGCAGCTGCTACAGTGTTGCTGGGTTGGCTGCCGCACATTGTGTCACCAGGTTAATGTCTAGTTTGCTGTACTAAGAAGTATTAAGTTGTATATTCTACCCAGGCCCATGATTAATTTCTTTTCATACGGCTGACTTCAGTATTCATAATTCTTGCTTGTGATGTATAGATAGATCAGCACTCAGTTCAGATATAAAACAATTTAGTATTTTCGATCCATTATTTCCAGCAATCAAGGGAGGAAGATGTTTGTGAAATTAACTGTGAAAATGGATGAAAGCATGGAGCTGATTGGAATATTTCCAGGGTTACAAGTAAATCCTTACAGAAAATCTAATGCACCCTGATAGTTCAAACTGCACAATGAGGGTAAAAGAAGACCAGTAGAATATGGAAGATAATTTTGATCATGAAACTATATTATC